AATTATGAAGTATTCATCAATTATAAATGGGAGATTCATGTAATTTTTATTCAATCTTAAATAATTTTACATAATTTATGATTGTGATTGAGTAATTATAATGTAATAATCGAATAAGATATGTTTTTGAAATATTTTTTTCTTTAAAAAAATGATTTGATTTAAATTAAAATTGCATCAATCTTTTTTCATCACAAATTTGATGATACTATCTATTAACTCTCATACAAACATCGAATACGTAGCACAAGAACTTGTCTATTGAGTGAGTTATGAATAAATTTTCCTTGTGAATACAAAGGTCAATCGAGCCATGGCTTAAGACCAAACGACCATCTGAAGATGGGAGAGAATACAGGCGATCACCTGCTGACAGGAAGAAGCTAGATGGCCTATACGAGCGCATATTTTGTGCTTGCGGTACTACTTCCTGCCCTTCTTACTGGTGGAACCCAGAGGAGTATCTCGGCCATGCTGCTTTGCTTCATGCTAACCAATTGAACTCCGACAGGTAATGCTAAATTACTAGGTGAATTGCCTGGATGAACCAGAATAAAAGTTCCATATGTCAATTGTTTTTTGTAGCAGGATTTGAGGGGTTTTTCATACTTCATCCAATTGAAGTAATCAGGATGTTGGCCAAAAGGGAAAAACGCTTCATTTTCCCATACAACTTGTATTGGTAATTTAAGTCAACTACGGGATTTACTTGGCAGCCGGGACGATTTCACTGAGGAAAGGCTGCAGGCCTTAACAGAAGACTTCAAGAGATTGTATAGATGCAGGACTATAAAGAATTGCACAATAATCTGCCCCCAAAACCTGAATCCAGCTGATGCAATTCATAAGATGATGACCAAGCACATGCTTTCTGAACCAATGGAGAGGGTTGAAAGCCTGTAGCTAAAGAATTTGTTCTATCTTTGTTGTTATGTTATCTATCCCTTCTAGTAGTTTACCATTTCTCCCTAGTGCATTGAAGATGACAATGTTAGCCAGTCCCAGCTCCTTGGCATTATTTCCTTGTGAACTTGGAAATTCAACACCAAAGGTGAAAGATATTGCTTGCCTGAGCAAAAATTAGGAATGTGTTTGATTAGAAGTCATATACTGCTGACATTTGTCAAACAAAAAGCAAATCATGCAATGATTAATATTTATACTGAAGGAGGTTGTCCTTAATTGTAGTGTCTCTTTAAACTGCAGCACAATTTAAAAAGTTTGAGTTTGCACTTATCCCCAATTTGGCTTGCATTGGTTTGCACAAGGTTTTTCCTTAATTTGGCACATTTGGCATGCACAAGCTTTGTTACATTATGAGATTAAACAACAAAAATAGCATTCCCTCCATCTTTTATTGTTATGATTTTATTGGTTGTCCTCCACTTATTTTCACAATTTTTTTATAAAAATTCTCTCTAGTATTATTTATGTTAAAATTTTGAATTTTTCAAAATAAGAGTAAGATTTTTTAAAAATTGAAATAAAATTTAATTTTATAACATCTTTAAAAATTTTGATAAAGAAATGAAAATGAGACTGATTAAATTTGGTCTTGATAAAGAGATACTATTATAATCTGGAATATGATATAATGAAGCAAAGTAGATTACAATATTATATATGAGCTTAAATAGTGTAGGCATCTGTAAGAAATTTTAAATTCTAAACTCTATTATGGGTGAATCAGAGATTTACTTTGTTTGCATATGAGCAGGTCTCATCTCTTACCTATAGAAACAATGAAAATTTCAAAAATTAAAAAATTATAAATTTTAAAAAAGATTTAAATAAATATAAATTAATTATACATAAATTTAACACAATTTTCTTTATTAATTAATTTTATTTTAATAAATCTTAGTTTAATTTTAAAAAAATAGTTGGTAACCAATTACCTTTTCTCGAATTGAACAATACTAAGAATTATTTTTTTAAAAATGCAAAAAACCTATACGAAGAATTAAAAGGAAAAAAAAAGAACTTACATGGGCCAACAATTTGGGCTTTCAAGCTGGACAAAGTTAGACCAATAATAGTAGTAATGAATCTTCTAATCCAAATAGTTCTCATTCTTTTTGATAAATCATTCTATTTAAAAGAGTTGAATATATAAGACTGGGTACCAAGGAAAATTCCACCGTGGTGGAGCAGCTGCTTCCCTGTTGCTCTGCTGCTTCATGATTTCCCTGTATAAATAAAAAGGATTCAGATATGGGCTTTTGCTCCAAAGACAAATTCTCCAGAATATTTGCCCAAAATATATAATGTCCATCTCTCGTTTTATTCTCTTTGCCACCAAGAGCCGCTCCCCCACTACTCCCAATCTACTTCAAAGGTCACTCTCTAATCTTTTCTTTTATGTTTTTTCTTTTCCAGTGTCAAGATTGTGACTTTTCCAATTTTTTGATGCTGGAATTGTTCCTGAATAAATCTTTTTTGCGAATTATATGTATTTTGATCAGAACGGTGATTTGGGTTTTTGTTGTAATTACCGAATGAACATGTTTTGCTTATATGTGAAGCATTGTTGTATATAGTTTTGGTCTTGGTATGAAGCAATTATTAGTATAATTGGGGAAGTCATAGCTTTTAATGTTTATATGGATGTGTAGGTTTGATCCATCTAAGAGAATCCAATCTTGTGGCTATGCGAAATCAGCAAAGAACAATTATGGAAAGCCAACTGGTCATTCTGTTATAAATGTAGAAACACAGGCTTCTCATCCGTGGAGTGCTTATGTTGTTGTATGCTGCCTATCTTTGATTGCTTGTTGATATGTACTTTTCCTATATTACATTGTGCATGAACTCTGTGTTGGATAGCAGGAACATGTAGCCTAATTGTTATTTTCACCCGCTACTTTTGCAGTCAGCTGCTTTACTAGGATTTGCGGGATTAGTAGCTTTTGTGCATTATAATGATGAGAGAAGAGCGGTTGCGATAGGTACTTGTTTATCTTCTTTTGCTGTTAAATAAATGCCCCATATTGGAATCCTGGTGGTTATGGACCAGGTGTTGGAACCTAGGTTGTTTTAAGTTTGGATATCTATGGTCTCTACATTTTGTGTTATTTTGTGGATTGAAGTTTCATAATATGTTCATTGTTGATATTTTTCCAATTAGATGAGACAAGCAACAATGCACTTGAGCTAATGTTTGGGCTGTTTATGAGTATGAATATATGTTTCATATTTAATTACCTTCAAGGAGCTTATTTCAGTGACTTCTTGTGCATTTGTGCTCAGACATCTGTTGGAAATTATTGGGAAGCTTCTTTCAATGAGTTCTGGTTCTACTTATTTATGTTTGTTTTTGTGCTTCTTTGATTTTGCTTGTGTCAAAAGGTCCCAAGTCATTGTCCTATTGCCATTTATGCAGTATCACATTACTATCTCTGTCTCAGAAAGGCCAAAAGGATGTGTTCCATCCGCCATATGGCATTTGTTGCTTTTTCATCCCTTTCTTTAAGGAAGGTTGAGTGAAGGAGAGGCTAAGTTGAACTGAATTGCAGTCATTGTAGGCCATTTGATACTGATATACAGTCTTATTATTACAGTTTCTTGGGTAGGATTAGAGTTGATGCAGCAATCATGCCTGTTCTAGAGAGCTTCGTTTGATCAGTGCTATTTCTTCCCAAGGTTTCTTTTGCATGACTAGGTTTGTCATATGACTTTGACTTGTGGCAAATAGATGGAATTTCTTAGTTAGGAAACTCTTAAGTGTTGCTCTTCCGACTTATTTACCTCACTGTTTCCAGGACATATCACTACTATGAAGAGTGGGCCATTAAAAGTTGTCTCCCTGTATTATTTTGTCTGTGGTCAAACATGTTGGCAAACAGTGTGGAAGAAATATCTAGTTGGGGAATAACTTAATTTGTTTATAAGGATGAACTTGAGGTCAAAGGTAATGGAAACATTTAGATAGGCTATGGAAATGTGTCTGGATAATATAGAACTATGCCCATAAAGTTCTGGCCTACGGGTGTTTTTTTTATTTAAACAAATTTATATGTAATAATATGACAACTTTTTCTGTGAAGGTAATTGTTCATTTTGGCATGGTTATCATGCCATGCAAAGCAGCAAGATGCAATTCATACCTTGAAGGATATCGCTGGGTAACAAAAGCTACACGTTAAGAAAATGAGTGTACTTTTTAAAAGCTAAATCTAATTTTTGGGGAAGAGAGTACTAAAGAGTCGACATTAAATTATATATACAGGATAGGAGGCTTTACCGCTTCCTAATATTATTTGAAGTGATTCTTCTCACATAGTCCAAAATACTTTTTTGCTTGCATCAAACTGAGGTTTAAAGATCCAAGAAACTTTTGTTTGTATAAATGTATTTCCTGGTGTTTGTCCAATTGCCAATGAGGAAAGGATTCTGTAATAAACATGACTAAATGGATCTTTAACATGTCTTCTTCTCGCTTATGTTGAGCAGGCCAGGGCAGCAAAAGTGGTTGTGATGCTGCAATAGGTCCTATTATCGGTGGTCCATTCACTTTAGTTAATACAGAAAGTCAGGTTGTTAATGAACAGGACTTTCTTGGGAACTGGCTTCTCCTCTACTTTGGCTATACATCATCTCCTGATGTTGGACCTGATCAGGTTCAAATAATGGTTAATGCTATAGATACATTAGGTATGACCCTTTAACCAGATTTAAATGTTATATTTAACTATTTCTTGTAATATTCCTAACATTTTGTATTTTATTTGGATCAAGAGTCGAAACAGAATGTTAAGGTATTACCTGTATTTGTGACAATCGATCCTCAGCGTGATACTCCTGCACAACTCTGTGCTTACCTCAAAGGTTTGTCTGCCCTTGTAACTTAATATGTGACGATAATAAAAGCTATTTCTGCTTCAATTACAAGTATCTTGGCTAATGTATGTCCAATTTTACTTTCAAAGTGCAGAGTTCAATTCAAAAATAGTGGGATTGACAGGACCTGTCAGTGCTGTAAGGCAGATGGCACAAGAGTATCGTGTTTATTTCAAGAAGGTTGAAGAAGAAGGAGATGATTATCTAGTCGAGTCTTCTCACAACATGTATGTTCCAAAAATTGACACACACAGGCATCCCTTCTCTCGAAGTTCTTTTTAATCTGAGAATTTGATGCAGCTTATTTCTAAATGCTCAGGTATTTGATAGACCCAAAAATGAAGGTTGTAAGATGCTTTGGATTAGAGTACAATGCTGAGGAACTGTCAAAGGAAATATTGAAGGAACTGCAGAAAATACCAACATAAAGCACAGTAGCATGGTTATGCTGCTCGCTGTTGTGCCAGGAGTATTGTGAATCTCATGCTTTTAACAAGGTAGAAACAATTAAAACCAACCCTGCCCCCCACTCTCCACGCTCCCTCCTCCACCCTACACCTTTTTATCAGGGAGCAAAATGAGAAACATTTCCCTTTACTTTCTTTGGGGATTCATTTCCTCCCTATATAGTTTGATTTTCACATAGGATAATTCCAATGTCAGATATGAGTAGGATGCAGTGAATTAACTTGACAGCAGGAATTGAATTTGGAAATCTTGAGAAGAAATGAAATTTTGGCAAAGTTGGATGACAAGCTGGTCCTTGATTCAATTATGTTCTCTGAACATTGCTTATTTTCGCATACAGCATATCCCCTTGTTTTGGTCTTATTAGGTCTACAATTTTTTTTTCTAAGGAAAGGGAAACAACTTTTCCTTTATGTATCTCGATTGTAAATATTTCCCCAGAAGGTTCAAAAGAGATAACAATCTAACTTCAGAAAAGAAGAGAACAGATATACCCAGCTCATAAATCAAATGAAAAAAGGCCAAAATCCCAACTGACAAATAGCTAGTGATTTTATATATTTTTAGGCAATGGTGACAATTAAAAACAGATGGGACATCTTTTCTACACACAGAATTATACCTTTCAACAGGAAAAAACACAATGCGAGAACCGATTTAACATAAACCCACACCGAAACTTTCTAGGAATATCCACTAATCCAAAGAGAAATTAAGGAAAAAACAAGAAAGAAAATTGAAGAGGAGGAAGAAGACGATCCCAAAGGCAAATGGCTCGTTTATGCAACGATGTATTTGCATCACTCAACGCTATGTCTCTGATCGGAAGCATCTATTTAGTAGATTATTCAAGAAAACGAAAAAAAAAATTCTTAACTTTCACTGTTGGTGTTGAAACAAAATTCCATTAGAGGGGGTGAACCCAACGAACACTTCTATCTGTCAAAGTTTTAATATAAATGGGAACGTTCACCAAGTTCCCTATGGCACCAGTACTTGTGGCTTGTCCGTATTTCTTCCCAACACAAGTTCTTGCTTATTTGGTGTCTCTTGGTCATCTAACGTTCCATTTGTCATGACTTTCTTGGTTGACACCTCTGATTTAGTCCTCTTTTAACGACCTCGCTGCTAGATATTGGGAAGTTATTCTCCTCTCTGGATGGCAACTTTTCACTTGATTTGCTCTTTCTAGGAGCTTGGCATTCAGAAAGATACAGAGGGGAATTTTGTTTACAAGTTCACTTTCCTAAATTTTTAACAAAAATTTTAAATCAAAGTTAAAATTTGATAATGAAAACTTAATTTGATTTCTTTATTTTCTTTTTAAATTCTTAATTCAATTATTTTTGAATATTAATTTTATGATCAATATAAAAATGTCAATTGTACCATTAATTAATAAAAATTAATCAAATTAATTTATTTGAATTTAAATAAAAATTTAAGAATTTAATTGAACATAATAAAATGTAAATGTTTATTGTATTTTCTTGAGTATAATTAAGGGGTTTATAGGTATTTAACCAAGAAAATTTATATTTGGTGTGAGATGAATCACTCACGCATCAATACCATATTCGAACAGGAGTGGGTAGTTTAATTTCTTGCAGGGGAAGGCAAGTTGAGGTGTGTAAAAGTCCTTGTATAATTAGGTTTGCTGTCAGCATAGTCAAATAATGCCATTTATACCTTTCTTCCAACAACAACAAGAAAAATTTCTCTGCTCGTCGAAATCTCCAACACGCAGAATTGTTTTTTCTGCACTTTTTTGTTCTCTTCTTGGAATCCAAGTATTGATCTTTTAGTATTGTTGTGAATGGTGGAAACAATTCGGATGCTCCCCCTCTGGAACGCTCTCCTCGCCTCTACTTTCGCTTTCGATTCTTGCAAGGAAAGCTGGTACCACCATTGCCTCGGCCTTGACCCATAAACAACCTAGAAAATCTTCAACCTCCCCCATATAACCCAGATTGTTTTTTGGTTTAAAGCAAAAAACAACATAAACCCATTGTCGGTGAAATATTCATTCACCTTCTTGTTGGTTTGATCTTTGGGTTTTGATAAAGTCGAATACATGGCGGTTTACAGGCAGAAGAAGAATCAAGGTCCCAAGGGCAAGAGGCTCTTGATTAGCATAACTTTTTTGGGAAGTGCAGGGCCGATCCGCCTCATCGTCAACGAAGAAGAACTTGTTGCTGCTGTCATTGATACTGCTCTGAAATCCTATGCTCGTGAAGGTCGGCTTCCTGTTCTCGGGTCGAATCTCAATGATTTCCTACTTTATTGCCCCAGTGCTGGTTCAGATGCACTGAGTCCATGGGCGACAATCGGATCACAAGGGGCACGAAATTTCAAGTTGTGGAAGAAGCAAAGAACTGAGAAGGTGGAAGATGATGGAAGAAGTTCAACTCAAGCAATTACTACAAATGAAGATGGGAATTGGAAGGCATGGACCAACAAATTCCTCAAACTTAAGATTTCCTCCCATTAATAATTCTCAATCCTTTATGTTCTTTATTTCTTGGATTAGGGTTTAGGCTGTCATTGATGACCATGGTATAATGTTGGTTATCATTGCATGCTATGAACTCGTTCGAGTAAGAAAGAGCTGGAGTATTGTTATTCTGGAATAAATTAAAGGTTTTATTCTGTTTTTTTGCTTTTCAAATAAAAATAAATAAATCTCAATATTTTTCCTATGATTTAATCAAATAGATATATTTAACCAATTATAGCTGTGTTAATTACCTAACAATAGTTAAAAGATTGTAGTTTCAAATCAAATTCTCTCTCACAAAATTTAGCTATTACAAGAGCCAAATCATCAAATCAAAGGCCAACTAAACCATCAAAAATAAAAATTAATTTAACATAATATTTGAAAAGTATCTTGAACTATTTAAAAAAATTTAGATAAATTTATTTTTTTTATTACTTTCAATCAAATCTAATGTATTTTTATTTTAAATTAAATAAGTTCTTATAAAAATGTTATCATATCACATCAATATGTCACATTATGATATTTTGATTAATAATAATTAATTAATTATTAATTATAAAAATTTAACTGACTTAAAATAAAAATATAAGAATTTGATTGAATCTTTGCTACTCATAAAAACTCAAATCATCAGAGGACTCTTTTGTTTCCCACAACAAGTCATGAGGCTCTACTTTTTGAAGTCTCCCTTAGGAGACCTTACGAATAAACCCAGTGCTTTTTTGAAAAACTAATTTGAATAAGAGAAGCTAGGATGCTGCATTTTCAGAAATTTTCAATCCAAATTTTTATTCTGCAAGTAGTAAAATGTAGGGAAATTGTTGCATGACAGTCCGTCATTCCTCCATGGAGTGACACACAAATATTAGCCGCTAACTATAAATTAGCAAAACCGGCTACATATAATACTGGTTTTGCTTAAATCTTTGTTTCTATTGTTGTCCCTCAAGGGACAAATATCAACTTAATTTCACAATATTCGAATGAATCAAACAGCAATCTCTCCGACGTATTTGACACTAAAGTAGTTAAGGACCAATCTTAACAGAAAGACCGGCAAAGATTATATCCAATGGTGAAAACCAACAAACAGAACTTCTCGCCTTATAAATCACACCAAAATTCTGACAAAAATCCCAAAAAACTAAAGAAGAATTAGAAGAAAAGGAAGAGAACCAGGAATTAAGATTGTTGAACATCTGAGCACAATGACTCGCCATAGTAACATCATTTTGGGGATTCTAAACGGCTTCGCTTTGATTATAGGCATTGGGATCATTGCCTGGGTAATAAGTATACGTGAACATTGGGGAACAGAGTGCATGAAGCTGCTGCTAGTCCCTTTGTTGGCGATAGGAATCGTGATATCAGTGTTTTCCTTGGTAGGTTTGATTGGTGCATGTTGCAGGTCTAATTTCTATCTATGGATTTACATGTTCATGTTGGCTATATGGATTATGGGGCTTGTAGTTGGTGCGGTTTTCATGTTCCACGTAGCTGGCTCAAGTTCCGAAATGCAGGAACGAGCGCAAAAGAGTTGGTTGCAGACTTATTATCTGGTTGGAAAACGGTGGCCTGCTGTGAAGAACTGTCAAGTTCAAGGGAAGATTTGCCAGTTAATGCTGAGTGAAGCTACGAGTTTAGAGGAGTTTCAGATGGAAAACACAAGGCATCCAACACAGGTAAATTTTAAATGTTTAATCCCCTTTCAAGTATTCTGTCAAAATCCTCCTGTTGATTCATGGGTTTTGTTATTCCAGGATGGTTGTTGCAGGCCACCAGACGGCGGCGGATTTGAATTCAAGAATGCGACATTTTGGATAGTTCCCAAAACGGGTTTGGTTAAGAAAGATGGCGATTGCATGGTGTGGAACAATCAGCCAGATAATCTGTGCTTCGACTGTGATCGATACAAGGAACTATTTGTTTCAGATCTCAGAAGGGATGCACTGTACTTTGGCATAAGCCTAACTTTGGAACTTATATTCGTCGTTATCACCTATTCCGTTGGATGCTGCGCCTAGAGGAACAATGAAACGAGATACTACCCTGGTTAATATAAAAATATATGCTCTTCATTACTATGTTTAGATAGATGCAAATTGGAGAATATATATTCTATCGGGTAAAGAGGAAGAATCGTACTCACCAGTAAATCTATTATCATATGACCTAGAAGAAGATGCATATCAGTTTATTTGTATAAATTTAATTCAATTCAACAGGACAAGTTTTTGTTAGTACGGTACTGGTATGCCAGAAAACTGTTTTATTAGTGTGTTGCTCATTGAATAGATATAGACATTCATCTGCAGAACTTTACAAAATTCATAATGCATTTTAATGTAATAACATGAAGGCGTTAACGGAAGATTGTATTGCCTATGCAAAACGCCCAAAGTCCCAAACCTTTATTTTGGAAATTTACCTACTTCATTTTGATCAGTATAATTCTTCTTCTTCTTTTCTTTTTTTTTGGAAAATGAAACTGAATCACTAATGCATCTTGGTCATGTTACCCTATCAAGTCATTGAGAAGTAAGTGGTTCAAAATTACAAAGGTGGCTAGTGTGTAAAGCCAATTAAAGATCATAGAAGATAATCCTTGTCAATCAAATTTATATAAAAATTTGATTCTGAGTTAATTTACATAATATTCTTGAAGGGAAGATCATTGATGGCTTCAAGCAAACAAAAATGAGAATCATTTGACAAGGAGGAAACTGGAAAAGAAGGGCGGTGGTTTCTTCTCTCTCTCTTTCTTTTGTCAAGTGGCTATCTGAATTGATGTCATACCCAAGCACAATCTCATTCCCCAAGTCTTTTGTATAATGCTGATGGTAATAACAGGAATCTTACAATTGATTTTTTTTTCTTTTAATTCTCTTATTGTTTATGATAGCATTCGCTTCCTTTGAATTTCGTAGAGAAATATGACCAAATCACCAGTTGAATTTTCCAAAATCCTACTGTACAGTTTATATCAAGGTGATAGAGAAAACGTTCACCAGAATGAAGAGCTGGAGATAACTATCCATGGTTGTCGACCAAACTAACAAGAACAGAAAAGAAGAAAAAAAAACCTTTTCTACCTCTGCATTTGCTCTACTAATAGTAAAATGATACCTAGCATTACTTAAATAATAGAAGGAGCTTGTTAAAACCATACAACCTAGGCCATCAATTTGTTTCTTCTTTTAAGGGAAAAATAAAGAAGACAGTCAACTAAAGTTGAACTATCACCAACACATCCTCAGCAGATAAAACCAGAAGCAGTTCGAATAGAGAAAGAGCAATTCTTAACAGAGGGAAAAGAAAAGGATCCTTTCACCAACGTCCTGTCTCTCTTCAACAAGAAAAACCATCTAAAGGACCTGTTTGTTTCTCTATAAACTAAGGCAGAAATCCTCATAGTCATCCACAAAACTAAAGAAAACATCCCCAATACAATGGTGGCTCGCATTGGCAACATAATTTTTGGGGTTCTAAATTGCTTGTCTATAATTACAGGGCTAATGATCATTGGCTGGGTGATATATTTACATGTTGAATGGAGTACAGAGTGCTATAAGCTAGTTCACACCCCATTGTTCATAACAGGAATTGTAATGTTTTTTATGTCCTTGTTAGGTTTGATTGGTGCATGTTTCAGGGCTAACATCTGCCTATGGATTTACATTATCTTCATGATCCTATGGGTTTTGGTACTTTTATTCAGCGCGGGTCATATGTTCCTTACAGCACGTTCAAGTCCAGAACAGGCAGATCAAAATTGGCTAAAGAATGATGTTTCACATGGGAAATACTGGGCTGCAGTAAAGACTTGTTTAATTGATGCAAATGTTTGCCAGGGAAAAGTTAGTAAAGCAAAGAATTTACAGGATTTTCAGCTGGAGAAAACAAGAAACCCTATACAGGTAATTAATTTAATTCTTCAATCTTTATTTCCTTGAGTTTACAAATTAATCTTGATTTGTATATTTCAGGATGCCTGCTGCAGACCACCAGAGTATTGTGAATTTGAATTCAAGGACGCAACATTTTGGACACCTCCCAAAGATGGTGTGATTAAGCGAGATGGGAATTGCATGGCATGGAACAATCAGCAAGATATTCTATGTTTTAATTGTGATCGATGCAAGGAAACAATTATGGAAGATGTCAGGAAGGATGCAATATACATGGCTATCGGCCTTACCTGCGAACTTGTGTTCATCGTCGTTGTCTGCATCCTTGGTTGCTGTGTGAGGATTAACAATAACAAAAAGTGATAGAAAAACAGAGTTTCTTTCTTTTCTTTTGGGGGGTGTTAATGGGAGATCTTTTGTTTTTAATTCGAGATACACATACTTATCACTCAATCAAATGTTATGTGCGGATGACGTAGGAATATTAGTTGGTAGGGGAGCATCATAGTGGCTCCTAACTTTAGTGTAACATATCTGTTGATTCTTGTTTGCTTTAGATTTAGAGTATTTGTTATACGCCTGTAGGAGGGCATTTTCCTATTTTCTCGAATAAATAAAAATGGTCATTTATTCAAAACAAAAAAGCTCCTAACTTGGACATAGCCATGAAAATTGAACCTTAATTTGTTTAATATCATATCCTTGTTTCTTTGGTATCGGAAACCTTTTCAGTTAATTTTGAAGTCGGAAGTTTAGCTAACTAGAAATGAAAACCTTGTACTAATGACATGACGTGAAATTTTAGAAGTTCTTTCTAGAAAAATAAATTCAATTTTAAAATAAGAAAAATAATGAAGAGTAAATTAAAAAACTAACAAAATAAATTTTTAATTTTTATAAATCAATGTCACACGATTTCAAGATCCGATTAGGAATTGATATCTTTAAATATGATAGTCTATTTTTCGATCATTGGATAAATATTTAAATTCTTAAAATTAAAAGAGGAAAGGGGCTTATTTCATGTTACATAACTCAACTAATTAATAGTTTTCAACTTACTAAAGACAAAAGCAGGCTTCCTCAATTGTGAACGCAAATGATAAGAACGTGCCTTCCTCTCTCTTTGCCTTTACCTATATTCAATTATTCATGAAAGAGGATGTCTAGGCTTGTACAGGAAATTATAGCTCAAAGGCCCAAATGTAAGGTGTATGACAAGAGAAAACCCCCTTTTTTTATTTTCTAAAAATCTAGAGATCCTCATTTAAACTTGGACCGGGTCTCTAGCTTGCCTATTTACATCACACAGAACACAAACGAAAAAAAAATAAAGGAAAAAGGGAAAAAAAATTTCAACAATCGAAGCCAACTTGCAATTTTAATAAAACAACACAACTGTAAATCATTATTCTCTTTTCCTGCAAGCTTCTTTTTTCCCACTCTTAATCATGTCATCTCGTACCATCTTTTTAGCCAAAAGAGAGGGAAAACGAGGAGAATTTCTCTCTTGGCAGCCGCTCCGGGAAGAGGCCATGCATATCATATCCTGGGGCTAGACCTGTTTCAACCACCCATGCCTTTCTCCTTCTAGCCTCTCTCTCTTTCTCTCTCTCTCTCTCTCTCTTATCTTTTTTGCCTTTTCTTTACCATTAACAAATAAATAATATCTCATTTATAGCCTTAACTGCAATTTTTTCCTTGTATACTTTCATATTTTTCACATTTCGATTTCAAACACCCATGTTTCCTCTGCTTGTTTGCTAGAAAATACACCATTCCCTCTATAACAAAGACTGCATTCTAAGCTAAGAACCTAGAAGGAAAATATGGGGGAAAATTCGCCAGAAACGAAATCAGGTTGTGGCCTGTTGAATGCAGTTTTTGGGCGGCGTAATTTTTGGCCGAGAAGGTCTACTTCTACAGGCTCATTGCCTATCAACAACATCAACATTAAAACAGCAAGCTCAAACACCAAGAGGCGACGGAGTGGTTCTGATGAGGCGTCACTTTTTAATTCTTCGTTGAATGGACCAGAAGCTCCCCCCAAGTCCAGCACGAAACCGCCTCCAAATCACCCTAAGCCCCCTGCAGTACTTCAACAGAACCAGGTTCGGAAACCTAATGATGAAGCAACCAGAATAACACCTAACCAAGGATATCTCAACCAAGGTAAAAGGGTGCCTAAAGAAGCCGTTAGTATCTCTGGGGAGCTGGAAAGCATGATCGTGGATCATCAAAAGACAAAGGGAAACAGTAACCTTGTTCGAGCCTCATCGAGTAATGTGATGCTTTATGGGAATTTAGGCAACTTGAGGCAACCTGGAGGAGGAAACACAAATTCATATAACGTTCTTGATCAACTCCCTAAGACTGCGAGAGAGGATGTCTCCACACCTAATGGGAGATACCCGAATAGTGTAATGGGAAACGTGGTGAAGAAACCGGTTGAGGAAAAGCGTACGGGAGAACAGCCAGGTTCTCTCTGCAGAGCTCTTTCTACACGAATGGACCCAGAAACGTTGAAAATTATGGGCAATGAAGATTACAAGAATGGGAATTTTGTGGAAGCTTTGGCGTTATATGAAGCAGCCATCGCCATTGATCCAAATAAGGCTTCATATCGAAGCAACAAAAGTGCAGCCTTAACAGCTTTAGGCAGGATTCTTGAGGCAGTATTTGAGTGCAGAGAAGCCATTCGAATTGAACCTCATTATCACAGAGCTCATCATCGTTTAGCAAATTTATATCTCAGGTAAACAAAAAAAAAGTTGCTTATTTGAAACAAAATTCTTCTACATTTAAACAACATTCAAGCTAAATATGTTTTATATAATTGTACAGGTTAGGGGAAGTGGAAAAGGCAATATATCACTACAAACATGCAGGCCTTGAGGCTGACCGTGATGACATTGCTAAAGCTAAAACTCTTCAGGCACATTTAAACAAGTGCACTGAAGCTAAAAGACTACGAGATTGGAACACCCTGCTCAAAGAAACAGATTCAACTATTAATGCTGTTGCAGATTCTGCTCCACAGGTACATATATAAATAATCCAATGCTTTCCACATTTAGCTTTATAATCTATCAGTGATTCAGTGTACTGTATATAACTTGTTTTTCTTTCTGTTGTGCTGTACTAAGATATATGCATTAAAAACCGAGGCCTTGTTGAAGCTTCACAGACACCAAGAGGCTGATGAAGCATTATCCAAAGGTCCAAATTTCAACGTTGATGACTGCACTAAATACTTCGGCCCAATCGGTAACGCGAGTTTGCTAGTTGTACGAGCTCAGGTGGACATGGCCGCCGGCAGGTAGTGTCATCTATTACTATATAATATTACCGTTTGAGGCAAAATGTAGACAAAAAGTAGTATAGGGGTACCTATGGATAAAAGGAGAGGAGATAGAGCAAGGTAGTGCAATATAGGAAGTTTGTGATCCTAAGCTTATATTGTAGAACAACTCAAAAGGAGATTTCTTGCTGGAAAAAAAGGAGCCAAAAGGACGGTAAAGGTTAGAGCTGGCAAAATCTGACCTTTACCTACCAAATGGGGCTAAATTTGCACAAAATGATTGGGTTTTGGGTTAATTGTTTCGTTTGTTATGACTGGGCACCTAATTCCCACCCTTTTTTATTCCTTTTCTTCTTTTCCGTTTCCTGTTTGACATTGAATTGGTAATTTCTAGGTGACCTCAACTTTGACCTTGTCTTTGCTTTATCCAGGGGGTGATTTAGAGCAACTAAAGGCCTTGGTAAAGAAATTTAGATCAGTTTCTGCCCCGTCAGAGCAATATACATGACAGGGGAAGAATGAAGAGCAAATTGCTCCTTAAAATTGAAATCCAAGAATTAAAAATCTCTCAAAATTATGTTCGCTGTAGCTTCAAGTTTCATTGAGCTCAAACTAAAAACCCTGTGTCATAAGTGCTTAATAAATATATTTAACCGTGCATGCCAGCTGTGCTAGATGTTTGTAATGTTAATTAGCAGCTTAAGCCTTAAAATAGGTTGTTTAAGTTGAACCTTGGTTCATAGGTGGGGTTCACGTCATGCACCATTGGAGCAATACCAAATTTTTGACTTGATCCCAACAAAAACTAATGCCAGCTACAGAAAAATGCCCTGCACATTTTGTCTTATAATATTACACATGTGCCGGGCCATGCATGTGTATGTCACATATAGACAATTTAAAAAAAACCAATAATGGATTAAATTTATATCATTCATCCAATTTGGTTGATCTTGGGAGACTAGGGCCTTATTCTAACAACACATGAGAATGATCTTTCTAGCGATAATATAGTTAGGTAACTCATAATGTTTTCTTAATGTTTCGTGTGAAGATTTGATGATGCCTTGGCGGCGATTCAGCGAGCGGTGAGGTTTGACCCGAACAACAAAGAAGCAAACAGTGTAATGAGGAAAGCTAGAGCAGTGGCAGCAGCGAGATCAACTGGGAATGAGCTTTTCAAGGCATCAAAGTTCTCCGACGCGTGCGTTGCTTATGGCGAGGGGCTTGATCATGACCCGCACAACTCCGTCCTGCTGTGCAACCGAGCAGCTTGTCGGTCCAAGCTTGGCCTCTACGAAAAGGCAATAGAGGACTGCACCCATGCACTTAATGTTCGCCCTGGTTACGTCAAAGCTAGACTAAGAAGAGCCGATTGCAATTTCAAGGTGAGATTTATAATTTGCAACTGATATTACATGGTTAATAGCTAGAATAGCTAATATTGGTCACAATTGACTGCTTATGATGCACACTTTACAAAATGTTACATTGTTAAATTTTGTGTTAATATAATTTTAAATGTTAATTACGGTCAATTGATTAATTAATTATGGGTTTGCATTTTTATGTTTAGAACATATCACTAGTATACGATTAAGCCACATTTTAAAAACCTAATAGTTAACTTATGATTTGGATTGGATTGACATTATGCATGTATAGAACCATACCTCAGACACCAAGAGACAAACCAAGCACTAGAATGGGAATTTTTTATAATGCTTCGAGCTGAATGTAATAATTGTGTTGCCTATAAAATTGGTACGATATCTAATAATGTTGTATTGGGTGTAATAGTTGGGGAAATGGGAAGCTTCGATACAAGACTACGAGATCTTGCAAAGAGAAACACCGGACAGCGAGGATGTGAAACGGGCCTTGTCCGAGGCTCAAATGCAACTCAAGAAACAACGTGGTGAAGTGGTATAAGACAAGAAGTACGTTTGGAGCTTGAAGCACACGAAAAGGGAGACCAGGCATTGGAGAAAGAGAAGAAGCTCCGAGGCAGCGACAAAAAGACAGCAACCGAGAAAGAAGAGCTGGTTTTCGTGATGATGTTGCCTGTTAGGAGCCATGTGAAGATAAGAGCTTTCAAAGATATGTCTGGGATGGAAAAAGTTGCCTTTGCCATTGTGAGGAATTTAAACGGGGAAATTTTGGTACTTTTAGAGTGTGACATTAATTATTTGGTACCAATTTGATTATGTGTGTATACTCTCTTAAAGGATTTACTTGATGTCGCATTTGAAAATTAAAACATTGGGTTCATCTTCTATAGTCAATCACTCAATCTTTGAAATTGGGCTAAGGTTACGGGTAGGGGGGTGGTTAGTCTCCAAAAATGGTGCAGAATTGATCCCAGGGCTACAAGGACCTCAATGTTTCTTAACCGGCTGGGCTATAGCTCATTGCTTCCACTAGCTTGATACTAGCTTTGCGTTTGAAATTATATATACTAGAAGTAAATTCATGCGTTGCATCCAACTCGTCCACTTCATACTTCTCAGGATGCAGTCCACCTATTAAACACATTACAACTCTCTTCCTCTAAGATCTACGTGGTAAAATTTGAGAATCTGTTTAGAAGCTTTATATGAACTTCACAACTCCCTACTAAAGCTTCCACTCGTTAGTACTTCTTTTTATATATGGTATAAATATAGTCTTAAGCACAATTTTCCTTCCTAACTACAAAAGTAAGAGAAAAAAAAAAGGCTATTCATCACTCCAAAAATACCAACTAGCATTGAAGAGCTTTAATTTCTAAGAAATTAGATAATTGCTTTTTTACTTCATTAATTTGTCATTTATAATTTTTGTGCACCACAGCTGGAGAAATTAATAGCTTGATAAATTAATAGTAAAACACTGGATGGAGTCGTGATTATGAAATTTGCTTGAGGGCAACTTGTCTAGGCAATTTCCAAATAATTTCTAGAACCACTGTTATAAAAGATATTTTAGGAAAATCATTACTGCCTTTTAGCAGAAGACACTTTCCAGTCAATATTATTCTTCGAATCAGAAAGCAATGAAGCTCTTTAACCTTATGAATTCTTAATTAACTGTCTAGCTGAGAGGACAAAAGGAGAAGAAAGCTTAATAGTGTCTAGCTGTACACATTAACTCAAAGGCAGCTTTTGGTACATGAATGGAAATATTGCTAAAGGAAAGTGCACATATATATGATTTAGTTAATATTGTGTAAGTTATCAGTGTGCAAACCAGTGTGCTTGGAGCTATTTCATATATATGATGTTTAAATAATTATTTGTTTGGCAAATTAGTATGCATTCTCGGAAATGGGCTTTTTCCGTATAAATTAGTATGCTTCGAATAATAATTAAGGCCTTGGAGTTTACTATCACTTTTTCTGAAAACAAGCCTAACCATCAATTGAATTAAAAGTATAGTTTCTTCAACACTTCAGATCACGCACCGAGAGTGACCTCAGGTAAAGCCAAAATTTCAAAAATGAAACCCTCTTTTCTTTGGCTGAAATTGACCATCTCATCACCCATTGCCATTTGACCTTGATCATAAATATAATTCCCAAAGCCCAGTTCCCATCAGTATTCAATTGTGGCCAGTGCGTGGGTGCCACATGCCATCCCAATATCTCCTTGAGATTATTCAATTAAAATATTTCTCCTTGGACCTAGACAGGGAGATCAAATGCTAATTAAGACTTTATTAATTTTTCAATTTTAACTAAAATAATCCCACTTAATGATCATTTACTACTGCCACGACAAGCTTACATGAATATGCTTATGGAGTATTTATTTATTTAATGGGCATTAAATGTTGCCACGAGGCCTATGAAAAGGTAATCATAACCTTTTGTAATAAGCTCCACCGACAACAGTAGCACGGTAAATACAGCTTTACATTGATCCAAAATTTCCCAAAACACGACAACATTACACGACTAAACTGCCACTCAGAGCCTCAGACAAAACCATAACTCCTTTCATCAACATAACATAATCATCATAATCGTCATAATTATTATTATATTAATTAAATACAAGCCTCATCACATTGTAGAGCTAGACTTCTGATCACGCCGATCAGCACCAAACGCCGAAGGACAGTAGTTCCTGATGGCAGTGAGCTCATACGGGGAGGTGTCAAGCGCCAACCATTGCTCCACCGTAAACTGCTGCTGGCTACAGGGGGTGTGGACGCCAGTCATGGTGACTTCCACGTAGTTACAGTACCATCCATGGTGTGAACCCGAGCCATCGGAGGTTAAGTTCATGGCGCATACAGGAGCAACCAAGCAAGGTCCCCTACCCGAGAAAATGTCCAAATTGCCCCTCTCGAAATAGTTGTGTCCTGGCCCCATTAACCCACCCCAAGCTTCCAGGTTGGCGATCTCAATGAACTCGCCGTAGAGATCGTAGAGTCTGAGGCTGATGATGGAGTCGGTTCCGCCTTTGAAGATGGAGCCTGTTCGAATGTAAACCGAGTAGACGCAATCTTCATCGTCCTGCAAGGAAGAAAAGAGAGAGAGGTTAGAGATGGGGATAGTAGAGGGGATTATGGGGGTTGTTGAGGGGTACTTACGGAAAGAGCGATGGAGGAGAAGGAGAGGAGGAGGAAGAAAGAGAGGAGCAACTGTGCTGGGGTTGCCATTGGATTTAACTTTTCGAAGATTTTGTTGAGAGAAAATTACAAGTACTTGTGTATAAATAGGCAAATATATATTTGGAGGCCACGTGACATTTTTTTTTCCTTTATTTTATTACTGAGAAGGGGCTTAATCAATTTTATTTTTTTTATTTTTTAATATATACTAAAGCATTCAACTGACAACAAATTTAAAATATGGAAAGGTTTGCTGGACACTAGGCTTATATGACATCTTCTACGTATAAAATTACATTACTGTCCCTACTAAGGGTCCATTGGGAGGGCAGAAGTAGTCACTTTGTGGGGTCTAACGTTATCTGGAGCGCAGATTGTAGTCACGTTGTGGGGTCTAACGTTATCTGGAGCTAGCAAACAGGAAAGCGATAAGAGGGGAGGGACTGTAACGTAATTTCGCACGAGATAATTATTGTCTTGGACTGGTCCCCTTTAATTTGCATTATGCGAGAGGCAAAAAGGATTTGGAAAGTTAAATAGTAGGGAAGGGGGAGGAGCGAGGACGGATGGGGGGAGCATATTCTCAGCGGAGCAAAAACGGTTCCGGGAGAAACACGTGGTATGGTATGTAGCAGAATAGTTAAAAGGGCGATTGCATCTTGGCCCTGCATCAGGGACAGATGGATGTGACCATCATCATTGAAAGTAAGAACTTGGGGTTTTACTTTTACAGATAGGAAATAATTTATTGCACTATAAACGGTGAGAGGGTGTGGTTGCTTGTTCTAGTCGGGGTTTCACTTTGACTTTGGAAACTTATATTTTCCACAAAATTCCATCACATGTCTAATCGATTCTTAAAGATTATGATAAAGAGGAGGAAATAAAATCCTAGGGTGAGGAAAGCAAGATATTTGTGAATACATTCACAGTGTGCCAACATGCATAATTAATGAAGGTTATTTTCAAACATTCACATCTTTTTCCAAACATTAGGTTTCAAGTTCAAACAGCATATGTTAGATTTGCAATGACTTTATGTTGAAATTCTCTAATTAATTTATTAGATTAAATGGGAAATTTTTGCATGTGGAAGAATAAGGTTTTGTTCGTTTCTTTTCCTTGATCCATAGTTAGGGTATTAAAAGGCCTAAATTTAACAGGTTGTTACCATATGATGGTGATGCATGGCATAATGTGATTAAGAAATAACCAACTCCAAGTCGCATACTCAAAAATAGACTTCTATTTTTTGACCAAAATTAAGAGGAAAGACTAGTTATTTTCTTCATTAACTCCCTTATTCTTAAAAAAATGCGTTGTCTTTTCCAAATCGTTACCTCATTTCATTCTAACCACAAAACCAACCAATCAACCTCCATGAAACCACCTCTTCCCATGCAAGCCCTAAATTCCTCCTTAACCTTCAACTCTCCACCTTCGGCACGCAACCTTTTCTTTCGCACCCCATCTCCCCATGGAGGAGCGGGTCGCGCCTTCTGCCGAGGACTCTCAGGGGCAGTCGTCGAGACCCGAACCTACCCCCAGCACCAACAACAAAGACGACCACCTTTACCTGCAGTTAGCTCGCCCTCCAAGCTCTCTGTTAGCAACCTACGTTGTCCAAGCCCCTAAAGATCAAATATATCGCGTTCCACCTCCTGAAAACGCCCTTATCGTAGAAAGTTACCGTCAGGCGGCGGGGCCGGCGAAGAATAGGAAGAGGACATGTTTCAAGTACTTGATATGGATTGCCGTCGTTTTCGTTGTCATTGGTGTTATGGTAGGCGTAGCCCTAAAGATTTTGTACGATTCTTTTACCCCAAAGGCTCCCATTTTCTCTGTTTCAATGCTCCAAGTCAAGAAATTTACGGATCGTCCTCCTAAATATGATGTCACGTTGAAAGTCCATAACCCAAATGAAAAGATGGGAATCAAATATGGATCAGTTGATGATGATGCGAAGCTAATTTTCTGGACGAAAACGCTTGGTGCGGGACAGTTTCCAAGCTTGTATCAGAACAGCGGTGATTCCAGCGTTGTGCATGTTAAACTAGTTGGCCCTGAAGATCAACTGATGCCACCCAATATCCAGCGTAGTATGAACGACAAAAAGCCAAAACATCAAATCTCTTTAGCGCTTAAGTTAAATTCACCATTGTTGCTGAACGTCGGGGTATTCAAGATGTGGAGTAGAGACATGGATGTCGAGTGCAAGTTTAGGGTGAACACAATGGGGGAAGGAAGCAAGATTCTGTCCCAAGATTGTAAAACCAAATTGTCCTAAATAGATCAGAAAGGTAATTAATTATGAAGCTGTGAAGAATTTCTTTGTTTAATTATCACACTAGATATTGGCTTATTTCATGCCAAAGAAAAAAAGGGACAACATATTTAATCCTTATGGTCAAGAGGCTCATTCTTTTTCTTTATTTATTTGTTTTTTCAACTAGAATATTTGAAATGATTATGGATATATACAAAATTCATCTAATTTGCATACATATAGTTCAATTCTCTTTTATCCCTTTTTCTGACATCAATGTTAAATTTTGCCTCTAGGTATGGGCACCAAACCTTTTGAGATCGCTCCATGCAATTTTATCCTTTCCTTTCATGTACTTTGTTTTGATGAAAGGGATTTCAACTTCAAACCCTTTTATTTGGACGAGAGGTGTGTGACTACAAATCCGGCTATCCCTCTTTTTTTTAATTCTTTCTTCTTCTATTTTTTTTAATAATCTCTTGAAGCGTGTACTGATTTTTTTTACTTGTAATTAGTGCATAGAAATTGGTTATCAATGGGATTGAGGTGTTTTACAAAGCTTCTAGCTTTGCATTTTTGGATCTGTTTATATGTATACGTTGCCACGCACAGGGACAAAAGATACATATACATACATATTCGTATGCTTATTTCTACCAAATTCAAGAGAAAATAATAGTATACTGATATAAAAAAATAGAATTTTAACCATCAGCAAAGAAAAATCTTATTCTTGAAATCTTGGAAATTCTTGAAACGTCCAACATAAACCTCTTACTCTCAATTTTCTTCTTGAATTAGTAGAGAAAAGAGGACTAAATAGTAAATTTTTCTTTGAATTATATATATATATATATATATATGTGTGTGTGTGTGTGTGTGTGTGTGTTGCCATCCGTCTTGGGTCCTAGCATTAGTTTTGACCCAAACATCTTTTATTAGACCTGGTCCAGCTTTGGACTTCAATACATAGCGAAGCCACTCTAAAGACAAAATATTCAATTTTATAGACTCCTCTAAACTGTTTTTTTTTTTTAAATCTAGAGAAGGGGAATTTAAATTTTATTTTTTAATAAAGGGATCATGCAATAACTAATGAGTTAAATACTCGAATGCAATTGAAGGTTTTAACATTCCTAACCAGTATGTTGAAAATTGAAATTCGTACTTAACATGAATAACTCAAACTTGATTTAGCAGTTGTTACCTTTTTTAGACGCAATTTGGTACAACACTGAGATTAATAATACTGAGATTGAAAAAAGTGGTGATAGTTAGTTTGAAATTAGTTGTGAGATCACATGTGTTTGGTAAAAATGACAATTAAAGACAATATAGTACAATTATCTTATATTAGATAAAATAACAATTAGTATTAACTAATAATAGTTTATTAAATAAACTAAATGAAGACGGTAACATGTCAAAACTCAATGAAATGATTACTAATTTTTTATATATTGAAATAAAATGAATATATTAGTTAATAACATATTTCACATATTTATAAGCAACAAATTATCCTATTCTTAAAAATTAAAATAGTATTTTTATACTTAATTATGAATGCATTAATCTATTTATTTTCTAGAATTAATTGTGAATTTTTTATTTACTTGTTAATTTATTTGATAATAAATTAACATATTTATATATTTATATTTTCTTATTATTTTTGTTTAATTATGTATTTATTTATTTATTTAACCTTATATTTTTTATATTTTATTTAGTAATATTTAATAATAATAATTAAAAATAATAAATGAAAAATTATAAAGTTGAAGTCAAAGATATTTTTGTCTGTTAATGTACAACCAAGGGCAAAAATAAAAGTGACGGAGGCAAAATGAGAAATAGGGAGAAATGGTTCAGTGCGATTTAACCATTGCACCCTTCTCTTTATATATATATATATATATATTTTAAAAAAGTGATTTTATTAGTCTGTAACTCATATGTCATTCTAAATTTCTTGCTATTAAGTAATAAACTTTCCATGGCACATTGACTTGATCCGGACAGAAAAACCTGTAAAATTACAAAAGAGGCCGCACAATAGACAGTTGACCATACTTATTCTACATTCTAACCTCCGAGACAACAATGCATGGATTAAAAAGGCCGCTTGCCCTTGAACAAAAAGATAAAAACTATGAAATATTAATTTTTTAATGTTATTAAAAAAAATTTAAGCATGTTATGAAATTTTTTTAATTTTTTTTAAATTATTAAAAACTATGAAATATTAATTTATGCTTTTCAAATGAAAAAAATTGAAATATTAATTTATAAAAGAAGTTATAAATATAAACTTTTTTTTTTTAATAAATTCCATGAAAGTCCAAAAAGACAGGGCCAAGTTATGGGCCAGGACCAACATTAGGTTTGAGGGAGTAGGCCCAACTAGTGAGGTTTCTACCTGAAGGCCCATGCTGAGACATTATGGGCCAAAACCCTGCCAGGATTTTTTAAAGGCCCCAACCAAATAAAATTGTAGAGCCATGTAAATGAATGGCGTGTAGATTAGATTTGTCGTAAAATGTAAAAACAAAAGGCAAATTGGAATTGGAAGTTTCACTGCAAGGGTGTAATTAATCAGCTGCAGTCAATTCTTCAAGTATGCCAAACGTGCAGTATTTATTTAAATAATGATGATTTTTACACATGCCATCGAATTCCGAAGACCTTCATTTTCCTAATCTTGACTTGACCCATTTTCACATGTCTATTCCCATATATGATTATCATAATGGTTTTCTTTGTATCTTCTCCTCCTAATTGTAATCTGCTTCATGTTAGTGGTGTGCAAAAACCAGGATCAACTTGCCTTTATATATTGCAAAATTTCAATTTAACTATAATCTACTTCAGTTATTGACTTGGAATTATTTCTGATGAACATTGACTTGGGATTCAACACCCATCAAAAGTGGGAAAAAAAAATACCAAGACTTGGAATTCAACTCAGTTCTAAACCAAGTTGACTGATAAAATTATGGTTCATTCCTGCTTCTTTATGTTATTACTTTATCCTAAATCGCTGCAACATGGCCAACTCTTTAAAACATTGAAGAAACAAGAAAATGAAGAGGGAAATTAGCTATAGCCGATTTTCCCTGGAAAGATCTGAAACCAAATTGAGCACCAAAGCAGAACAATTATTGTACAGGGCAGGGGCGATATTTCCATGTAAACAAAAGCAAGTAGCTTTCAAAGTAGGTAGTACTTTAAACGAGTGTTGTATTAAAGGTGGAAAGTTTTAAAAAGAAGCATTTAACTATTTTGCAACGAATGGGGGATATATGGGAAACTTTACAACAGGAGTTCTGCCTCTCTTTTTCTTCTACATATTAACCTAACTACTTTACAACTTAGTAATTATGGGGGTTTGGAAAGGAGCCTTCTCACCTTTTCTTTGTTCCTTTTTTTATTTTTTTTTTGGCCCTTACATGCACTTGCACATGGTTAGTTGGAAACAACATGCCCTTCTTTATGGGGTTCAATGTTTAATTACTAGAATCAACAATATTTTTGCTTTCTTTTCCATTTCTTTAATCCCATAATTCATGCTTTAACAAATTAAAAGCTAGATTAAAGTATTTGATTTATTTGTAATACTTTCTCAATGCAAAGCTGCTTTGGAACTGGCAGATTAACACCCGCAATCACCACAAGAATTAAAAATGATTTTGAGTACGATCATGTATGATTAACGTAAATCACGTGAAGTTGGGTCCGCACCATCAATTTCTTGCCTTCGATTAATTTTCTTAATTTATATTTCATAAAGCGAAAAAGAGTTCCAAGGTGGCGTGGTACAACACTTGATCATTTCGACAATCACAGCCAACATTAAAAAACTGTACTTTAGTTTTTATGATATATAACAAACAAAATTCTTGCCTATTGAAGTTACCTTAAGCCAATACTTTGTAGATGAAAAGGGGAAACCATCCTTTTGTTTTTCCCTGCTTTCCTTCTTGTTGCTTCTGCGCCTGTTTCATTCCTTCCATGCATGCTACCTCATAAAGTTACTGCAGGAACGGAACCATGAACTCTTTTACACGTAGTCACGTACCCCTTTACATTCTCTCCAACTCAAAATAAACGCTTTCTTGCCTAAAAAAAAATGCAAAACCCTACCAGTGACCCATCGACACATTCACAATTATTCATCTCTTTTCCTCATCTGTCTCTTTCATGGCTTCGTCTGTATTATCAGGCGGGGAATGCTGACAGTGTTCGAGGGAAGGACCCAATTTTTCCACTTAGGCACCACTCAGTTGTTCCCCATAACATGAGCATCTGGTTCACATGGGAATCCATGTGACCAACAAGTTAGGCATAATCCGGCCAATTCTCATGATTCATGAATCATGATCACCACACGCCCCCATTTTGCATATGTACACATATAAATTGTTAATGTATGTACACGTACGCATATCATCTCAAGACGAAACCACCAGCCCACCACCCTCCCCGGCCATGGCTCTACCCTCAAGGTGGGGACCGGTTCTCGAGAGCATCACACGTGTTGCGAATCTCTTTTTATGTGTTACCATGTAGTTGACACGTACGCTAGAGGACCATCCCCCTCCCATGACACATGAACTCTGACAACTCAATGCCCCAAAGGTTCCTCTCCCATGCCGTGTTATGAATCTAACAATGTATATATACCAAAGTACGTATACACGAATCACCATTAATAATGAGCATGGCCTAGTTGTTGTTCATGTCAAAGACTCTTGTACTTGGGATAATGTTACATGCAATCCCAAGTTTTACTTCTCCAAGGCCTCCACCTAGCCAGGCTATACCTCTATCTGACGATGGTTCGTGAATGTAGGAGCATGGCCACTGTTTAAATGTGACAATAATCAGTCAAATTCTTTGTCAATTGACTTAATTCAACATTGGAAATAATAATTGTTAAGCCTTATCAGATTTACATATCTTTTTCCAAGAAACTAAATGTCTTGAGCAACCAAGAAAAAGGATACGCGGAAAAGAGGAGGAAAGAGGTGACATTTTAGCAGAGAATGAGGGAGGCATTTGGAGGGGCAGGTGTCTCCCTTCCCTGCCAATAATTGAGGCTATGCAAAGACTTAGTTTAAGTCAGTTAAGGCACCAATCATGGGGGTTTGAATCTTGTGGACTTCATCTTTCCACGTACGAGGGAGCCCAGGTAGTGAAAAGGCCTTGGAACCATGTTAATGTCCCTATTCAAAAACCAACGTGATTTTTTTTTTCCTCACATCAAACAAGCCCTTTAAGTGGATTCCACCTCCTCATTCAACCATAGATTCCCATCCTTGGTGGTGGGTTTCCCTTTCAAAAACCTACCCAAAAATATTATTATCCATGCGCAATTCAAAACAAAGAAAATCAAATGAAGCAGAATTCTCTGCTCCTCTTTTGTGGGGTTCCTCCAAATCTAGGTACCCAATGGGTCAGACCTGTTCTTCTGGTTGAGAGCAATGGCTATTCTTCCTCCCATATAGGGACTAATATAATTTATATCATAAGCTAATGGTCTACATTG